GATGTTTGAAATTTGGGGGGATAACTGGGAAGACACTGAGATGTAAAAAACAAATAATTGTAAGCAAAGCATGTAACACGATGTTTGACAAGCACAAAACAATGTAGATAGATTGAAAAACTAATATATATAAAGAAAGAAACAATGGGGGAAATGCTTGCCCTGCCTGCCACTTCTGTACTCCAGACTGCCTGTATGCCGGCAGAGAATTGGTTACCAGTCCTGGGCTGGATCCCCACCCTCTCAAGCCCATGTAGACAATATGACAGTAGGTGCTGTGGTCACACACCTGCTGTCTTGGATGTGACTTTGCTAATTAGAGATTCTACCAGGTGTGACAGCCAGGACTCTGGCTTTCCTCTCTTTTCACCTTCCCTGTGTGGGTGTGCCTGCCTATCCAAATGCTCACTGCATGAACACTTCTGCACATGGATTTTGGATCTAGGGAGCTTCAACTGTCCTGTGCTTTCTTGTAATTGGGAGGAAAAGAGTAGAATGGAACTTTCAGTAAGATGTAGAGCATCCCCATACAGTGGCACCTCGGTTTACAAACGCCTCGGTTTACGTAATTTTCAGTTTACAAACCAAAATCCATAGAAAATAATGCTCCAGTTTATGTCCCCCCGCTGCACAAAAGGGTTTTCCCAAGACACACTGCACCAGATTTGTAGTGCTGCCCCCGTTCTTAGCGCAATCTGCTTTTCAATTTACGAAATTTCCGAATTACGTAACGTCCCAGAGGATGCATTAATTTCGTAAACTGAGGTATGCCTGTACTTTTTGTGGGCTAAATTGGGACTGCTTGTGGCTGAACTGTGTTCCTATTTAACATAAAAATCCCATTCAATGCAAGACAACTTACTATTTAGTTAAGTGTGCTTATGCACTCAGGATTTGTCTTCTAAATATTTTAATATATGGGCAGAGATCTGTTTAGAACATCACTATAGTGGGGAGTAAAAGCAGCTGTGAAGATAATTTGTAGTGGAGAAAAGAAAGGGGCAATGCATTAGCCTGCTATTGTACAGTTTTACAATGGTCTTAGAAAAAACCCTAGTCTTTCGACTGAGATGTGAACTAAAAGG